ATAAAAGGCCACCAGTGTAATTTTAAATGAATAGAAGAAGTAATGCATAACACAGTAACATTTATGACTAGGCAAAAGTGAGAAACAGGTTGATGAGGGGAGGCAAAAATATATTTGGAGATTAAAAATAAATCAAATTTAAATAGGGATATACTGTTAAGATACATGAAAAATAAATGGAAGAAAATAAAATATGTCCTCTAGGGCGACAGACATTGAGAAATGAACTAGATCACTTGGTGGGGGTTAACATTTAATTCAAGGAGGATATGGTTTACTGAACAGTACTTTACTGGGATTGTAGAGCTAATCCACTTCCAAAACTTGGGTTAACTACACTCATTTTTAACTGATTAATTCAGGCTCAAAATAGGTTCCTTGTTTGAATATCCCTTGATTGACAGTAAGAGAACTGCAGTGGCATTTTGGACTGGAAACTAAAAGGATAGGTTAAAAAAAATTACTCCAAACTTCTCCATATCACTCACTAATCAACTTCAAGGTCTTCTAACACAAAATCCTGTTACAGTGTATATGTCTCACGTGTATTTATATTTTTCTCAATTTTATAATCAAATTATACACTGACTGATGTCTCATCATGCCTGATAAGAATATTAACAAAAAAATAGGAGAGAACTATAAGGAAGTGGTAAGACAGGAGGAAGGAGACACAGAGGAATGAGTAAACAAAGAGCCTTCTGCAATATCTGCTTAAGTGAGATGAAGAGTCTCAGAACAGGAGCCTTTCAATTCCCTGTGGGGAGGTTGCCCAATATGTAAGAGGGACATTCAGATCCAGGAGAAAACGTTCTGCTCTGTTCTGGTATGGTTAAAATTGAGGTAGCTTGGAGTTGGAAATGGGGTTTTGGTAAAAAGCTTAGCGTGTATACAATGGGTATTGCATTAATTTGTTATAAAGTTGTTAAAATAATTCAATAAAACTATCTATAAATATTTTGACATTATACCAGGTACATCGTAGCCATATAATAAATATATCTATTCCATTTTATTTAGCTAAGGTGAGTTGAATAATTAACCCACAGATTTTCTTCTAAGTTTGCAAGTTACTCTGCCTTTCTGAGACATTTAGAAGGTGGCAGTCAAAAATCGATTCCTAAAATCAAAAGGGCAGTGAACATTTAAATAACGACCAGATCAAAGGGGTAGGGGTGAGGGTATTGAGATGCTCATTATGCATCTTAACTACAACAAAACAAAATTAATTTCTAAGCATCTTAAATCTGCCGAGGAAGGAAAACCCTGAAAATGTTCTAGTTGGCATGGGATAACAATTGGATATTAATTATACAATACTCATTATTATTTATTTAAAATATTACTGACAGCCATTATTTAATGTGCTGCCTTTATTGTTTTAATGTTAGTAATTTTAGGATGCTTTCATATACTTACTCATGATTTTGAATCCACCAACCCTATTTTTCCTTATACCAATTTAAATTTCTCAAATGGTAATGTTCTCACCAGGGGGCTATTCAGGCATAAACCCTAACAGTAGAAACTGACCACTCTTACAGGAATGTGAAGCCTCCATTTCGGTCTGGTAGCAGGTTTTTAGGCCATTACTGAAGACTCACCTTTTTATTTAGAAAGTAGGTAGGGTTACCAGATGAAATACAGGAGATCCAGTCAAAGTTGAATTCAAGCTAAACGATGAACAATTTTCAGTATAAACATGTCCCAAATATTGCACGGAATACTAATACTAAAAACTTATTCACTCTGTCAGCTAAAATTCAAATTTAACTGGGAGTCCTATATTTTTGTTTGCTAAATCTGGCAACCTTAACACTAGGTTTTTCTAGATTATGAATGGGAAGTGAATGAAGGAAGTCAGTGAAAAGACAGAAAAAATAAAGCTTTGAGGCCCAAAACCTACTATCTCACTAAGGTATAATCACCTCAGCAACATTACTCAAAACAAACTACAAATTCTATAAAAGTAATTATTCAACCTAATTAGTAAATGTATACAGAATGGGGAAGCTCAATGAACTTGAAGAGTACTTTGATTTTGCAATTGTGTTTCTCAATTAAAACAGGTTTACTACACCTGGTATGTTTTGTAATTGATCGTTTTTTAAGATCTGCTTAAGAGCAACTCAAGATGCTATCCCTTAATTTCAAAGTGAAAGGACACAGGTAAATCCCTGAGATTCATGAGATTCACAACCTCAAGACTTCCTAAATCCTACTTTTTATGAAAGAGAAATTGCTACTAAGATTTCAGGCAAATATGCCACATTAATCCCTCGTTTCCTGAGTAAATTGTCTATGTCCTATGTAACATGATAAGTTTCACTATTCTAAGAGAATTCTGACATTCTAAAACGTCTCTAAAGGCTTTCATTTACTAAACATGTTACATCATCAGGAATTTCTAATTCTTAACACACAAACCCAATTTGTTTCATGGGCTTTGGAGAAGTGATAAATATGACATAATTATTTGTAAGTCAAAGTCTAAAACAAAGTACCCCTGACAATATGATGATGACGTGTGACATGACATTCCCAAAAGAACAGAAGAAAAGTAAGTTGTTTATAATTGACATTCATCTAAAACCAGAAAATTGTTTCTAATTATGACACATTTTATACCCTGCATTTCAATAAAATATTTTATCTTGAAGTCTTATTCATGTATCAGCACTTGACCTAGCCAAAGAGCTAAGGATTAACAAGAAAAAGAAATCATGAAATTCAAGATTTCTGAGGTGTCTTTAGTTCCACTTTCAAGACCACATGAGAGAAACAGTATATTAGCACCAGTATATTAGCACCATCCCAGCGTGTACCCTCTTCCACTGACATATCCATTACTGCCATGCAAAGTAAGCACAAGAATAAATACTACACTAAGTGTCCTGATAATTTTGAACAACTCTATTTCAAAATGTATTATGACAAGCACAACTTTCAGCAAGGGTTGTTTTTTGACAAGAAGAGAAGACTAAGGAGGCATTCTTCCCACACTGACAAGTACATTTCATCTATTATTATGTGGAAACAAACAGAAACTGTATTTACTATTTCTATAATTTTAGCATTTGAGAGCTTTTTCCTTTCTAGATGAGGCCATTGCATGAAAGGGGACATTTTTTTTCAAAATTTTAATGTATTTTCTGGCTGTTTTAATTTTACTTCTTAACTTGTCCTACTCACAGCACATATATGCAGCATGAAATATGGGTAGCTTATGTCCAATATAAGATGTATAAAAGCCTTTCACTTTATCCAACAGTGCTCTAGGATGCATTACCAGCCAAGCAGATAATCGTGATGATGAATTGCACAATATGGTCAGCACTAATAGACTGGTTTTCCACAAATGCATTGCAAAAAGATAAACAAATGCTTCATATTTCACAACACAACTATTTTGATGTCACATGTTAGGGAAGGTCCAACGTGGTAGAGATTAGCAACTTTAAATCTGTAGGTCCTGGATTAAACAACATGAAGGAAATTTGGAGAGATGACAGTGTATCCGGAGAGTAGATGATGTTGCAGGTAAGAGTCTCTTCTTGAGGGTCTAATTAGGTTCTTCCCACCGCCTCACTTGTTTTTTTCAATCTTTATAGAGACACCTTAGCAGAAGCCTTCAGCTTTGACAGAACACCGAAATCCTGGCAGTGAACAATAAATTGACCATTACCATAAAAAGAGCTGCTAAATGAGAAACCATGTGCTCAGTATAAAACTAATTTCATGCTTTCAAAAGCACACAGTGGCTTCCAGCAAGATAGTGGCCCTGGGACTTGCTGAGACAGATTGGTGAACACAAATGGTTTGCTCCTGATGCGTCTGCCTAGCCAAGCTTTACGTGTACTGGCAGTAAACGGGGTTTTCGAGTCTTCTGTCAAACAAACACACTCTTAGCTATAACTTTAAAGCTGAAAGCTGTAAAACAGCTGCCTCAAATAAATTTAGCAAGAAACACACACACACAAATATATACCCACTCCCATGTGCCATGTTAGCTGCTTCTAATCAAGTGAAAATGGTTTTCTCTGCAGACCTAACATACTGAACAGACACTTAATAAGCATAATGCTATTTAATACATTAATACATTATAACCTGCATGCTCCATTCTTGTTTAGAAACAGCTTCTCATCAGATAGAAATAAGAGTTTAGCCAAGCTCGAGCAATAGGACTCCATCTATACGGAGGCTAACTTTGTACTTGTCCTTAGCCAGTTGGCTTCCACATGCCCTATATTTATAATCTACATCAGACCTTGCCAGGCATGATGATTTAGTCACTTAACTTCTGCAGGTGAGTGCCAGTACTTTATCTACACGTACATGGTAAAAATCAGCTCCATTTAAAACATCACATGTCATAAAAACACACTTATGAAAAACTGCTGCTAACTCCCCCCTTCTGTCACTCGGCATACCATCACTAGAAGCCAATTACTGTCAGTTGTCCAGTGCACAACAGGTCATAACTTTTAATTATTAATAATGTCAAGGTGTCAACTTCAGTATGTAATCCATTTCGCTTACTTTCTTAGTTATCTTGTAAACATGACTTGCTTCCTCCTATGTTTTTCATGTCAAAGATTCTACAAAGTACATTTAATTTATAGCCTTTTTAAAATACCTGCAGCACATAGTAGCACGGCTAATTACCAACGTTCAGCAACAACAGCAAATCACATAATACCACTGACTTGTTCTGAATGTTTAAAATGCAAAGGAAGTCACCTACTGCTAAGATGTCCTCGGCAAACAGATAGCACAGGAAGAAAAGGATGCTTATCACATCCAATTAAGGAATTACTTCACAACAAAATTAAGGAATTAGATATTTTACTCTTTCAATTTTGCTCTTTCAGATATGTCAGCACGATGTGATAAACACAATTGATTACTCCACAGGATTCAGCACAGCGTACAAAAGAATCTGTCACTGACACCCCAGACCCCAACCAGCATCCAAGCTTTAGAATAAAAATGCTCACCTCTGCTAGGAAGTCCACTCCACATCCTGGCAAGGTTTTAGCTTCGAGAGCAACCAAGTTGGATAAACAAAACTTCCAGAATGTGTCCAGGGTATTGCACAGCGCTACTGAGACTTGGCTCCAGCCCCGATTATCTGTGTGACAGCACCACGTTATATCAGTGCCGCTCCAAACCTTCCCAGTTGCTGGCTTAGTGCACTGCTCATTGAAAATCCTTCACACGCTGGCAACATTTTAGGGAAGGACAAGCACACTCTGAGTCATTTGTAAAGAAAGCAGAGCAATTTCCATTTCATATCTCCATGCGTGCTGCAACCAGAAGCACTGTCAACGTACAAGTCTGAGGTGGATTTATGCTGAGAAACAGGCAACCTAAGCCTTCATTATCAATGCATGAAATCAGCCACTGTTATCAAATTCAAGCAAACCACAAAAAGAATATAATTATGAAAGACTCCATGGATTTAGCACCAAACCTTGTGGAATGAGGAATCATCTATCAAAACTGTGTAAATGTTAAAAATAGCTCTGGCTTTTCAACAATGAGCAGGATACAGAGAAGAAATCAGTAGTCTATATTATAAGGACTTATAAAGGCTGCAATAACCAAAATAGCTGTAGGTTCCTGGGACTTCTCTATAGAAAAATGAAATCACTAGAGGCTATTACAATAACAAAAATAATTCCATATATTTGACACAGATGTCCATTAAAGAGCAAGTAATATTTTTTAACTCCTAAGAACCCATCTCTAAATTAAAATGATAGTAATAACGTGCAAGGCTATGCTAGCAACAGGGCAAAATGCTATCAGTTTTACTGTAAGACAATTTCATAAACAGTAAAGATTCAAATGTATTCTGTGTAGCAAGAAAATAAATATACAAGATAGAGAACATTTTTAAAACTGTAATCTTTGCTTGTTATTTTTAAAAAATCTATAGCTTATTAAGTCTATGTATGCTTATCCCAGCCACCACCAATTTATACCTTTGCATTTTACCATCCTTTCTCTTTTTTACTAAAATATAAGATGCAAGAGCCAGTAGACACAGTTTTTAAAAGGCACAAGGTAGCTATACCCTAGAAAGTACCAGCAATGATTTGAGATCACAAAATATAGAGCTTTGACGTGTACATGCAAAGTGCAAAGCAAAAAGGACATAAAACATTTATTAGAAATCACAAAAATGACTGGAAGAAATTCCTAGTAGGCAATGTTGACAAAGAACACACTTTAGGTTCTTTTCAAAAAAATTTCTAAAGGGTTTTAGGTTCTCTTGAGACTCTGAAGGCAGAGCAAATGAGGATCCAATAAAGGCAATTCCTAATTTGAGAATCTTCTGTAAATGACTGGGTTCAGTTTCAGCAATACTATTAGCTCTTAGGTGACACATTGAGTAGTGTCTGCAATCTAAAACATTTATGTACAAATTGCAATAATCTACAACATGCATTTACACAACACAGCATTTTGGAGCAATGTTAAACATGGCACTTCCATAGGTATCCTCACTGTGTCCCTAGATGTATGGTTGACTTCTTACAGCTTGCAGGTTGGATGGCCTTCCTTGGAGACAGATATAGACAGACATGAATGGACACACACACATATGTGTATATACTTATACCTACATCATAGAACATGCTTATCCTTTGCAGTCACTTTTGCCACCTGAATTCCATTTGTTTTGTGTCTTATAAAACCCCTAAGGCAACATTTGAGTGTATTATGAGAAATAGCATTGGACAACACTGATTCAGTAACTGTTCAGTGTCACTCCCTCTCTCTCTCCCTCTCTCAATCTCTCTCCCCAAACACACACAACGTTTCTCGGCTTAGAAAAGAGTTTATGAAGATTGTGTGCCTGAAAACTCGTTTTATTATTACCACACATGCAACTCCATAGTAATAAAAGCTTAAAATGAAACCATGATATTTGGTTATACGTCTTCAATCTCTTATCTAAACCCCTTGGTGCTTGAAGCATTTCAGAATTCAAATGCTTTCAGATCTTAGAAAGGTAATACCCTGCATATGCCATGAATTACAGAATGCCTCCAGTGGTGGGTGTTATATAGTGCCCTCTTGGGGTCTGGGGCAACAGCTCTATAATCAGACATTAATATTTCTGTAGGGAAGCATATGCATATTCTTACTAGATGGGATAGGGAGTACAATTAACCTCACATCAGTTCAGGTCAAGTTTTTCCATTAATATGAATTACAAAATCTTCTTGCTTTCAGAGTTTCTTGGATTTCAGGAATTGCAGATAAGAACTTGTGGACTGTAGAGATGTTTACCTAATCTGTTACCAAGTTATGAATTGGGAAATGATACCTACATAGGTGTTCTCTAGCTTAAGCAAGAGATTTGAAGGGTAGCATTGCTTCAACAGGATAGGCAAAAATAGGAGAGAAGGTACAACTGAGACTGAGACACAAAGCAGAGCAGAAATGTGGTAATAATGCAAGACGACAAAACTAGGGCATGGAAATGGAAGGCAAAAAGTAGCCCTTCAGAATTACTGGATCCAAAAAGCAAGCAAAAAATAATAACAGAATCAAGCACACATTGATTATTTAAACTTTATATCGCCTCGTGTGAAAGGCACTTGACATAAATTTTTTTAGCAGTCTACCTTAATTGTTAAAAGAAAAACGTAAAAGGAAGAATGTGTTTTCAGAGTGAGGCATAAAACATCGGGTTCTCTCAGCCTCTTCTCATTGCACCCAAAACATTCATTAACGTTAAACTGCACATGTGACACTGTCAGAAAAAAAGAAGCTTTGCCTTATGAAGTAAGTTTCTGTTTCACTCATATATGCCATACACTACTTGCTGTGGGGGTTTCCAAAATCACTTATGGAAAAGGGTAGCAATATTCTTTACCACTGATAGTCAACTGCTTGATTTTAAACCCATTTTAAAAATGAATATTCCCCCCAAACATGAATAATGTGTTGCATTTGCTCAGTCTTTCCTGTGAGTGTATTTCCCAAATGAATACTTTTAAAAAGTAAGTACATTAAAGCACTTGAACATAGCAAAGCATTGACACTGGACTCAAAACTTTTCTTAAAAAAAGAGAGAGAAATAATGTAAAATTTAACAGCAAAGACTGAGTCAAAGAAATTATGTCACAATAAAAAAAAAAGAGTTTGGGCCTAGAGTAGAATATTCACCATCTTCAAAGCGTTTGCTGTGTGCCTTTTAGGGTCCAACCCTGCACTGGGGAGGAATCCTCGAGGCACTCATGTGAATAGCGGTCTTCCTATTCACTGTACAAAGTAGAGTGTAATATATGGCTCTAATATTAGTATCTGAAACACAATCACAAAGTCACATTCTATACAAAGTAAAAAAACAAATTTTTTTGACAAAAAAATATGAATTCTTTCCTTAGCAACCAAAATGGTGCCCTGATGGTCTGATGGAGTTACTGCAGGTTCTAATACTGACTGTCCCATAAGAAGGGAATCGTTTCAGGGTTAAAATCAAAACTCTGCCTATGAATACTTATACACTGTTAGTAGGAGTGTAAATTAGTAAAACCTCTATGGAAATCTGTAAGATTTCTCAAAGAACTAAAAGTACATCTACCACTCTATCCAACAATCCCACTACTTGGTATCTATCCAAAGGAACAGAGGTTGTTATTTAAAAACAAAAACGAAAAAACCCTGCACTTATATGTTTATCACAGTATTATTCACATTTGAAAAAAGGGGAAATTTACCTAAGTGCCCATCAACTGATCAGTGGATAATGGAAATGTGATACATAATACTACTCAGCCATAAAAATAATGAAATGATGTCTTTTGCAGCAACTTGGATGAAATTGGAGGACATCATCCTAGGTCAAATAACACAAGAACAGAAAACCAAATACCACAGGTACAATGGGCACAGGTGTGCATGGTGGGTACTTAAAGTCCAGACTTCTTCACCACTATACAATGCACCCACATAAACAAAAACCATTTGTACCTCATAAAGCTATTGAAGTTTAAAAAAAACTCCCCATACCAATTACATTATATCCATATAATAAAAGGTAAATGTCCAGTGACTATAACACAAGAGTCTCTGGATTGCAAGGCAGGTCCACCAGGGGGCCAGCTCTTGAAATGAAGCAGGACAACATGACATGAATGCCATCATGCCTGGCCCATATAAATGCAGTCTCCAGCCTTCTCACTCCTCCAAAAGCTTCATGTAAAAGCAGACATGTTTCAGAGTTGGCCTGAGAACTGGCTCCAGAAAAAACGTGAGTGCTGCGGACGAATGCCAACCGTGTGGTCAGTTGTAACATTCCAAGGGATGGCTAACTTGGGACAATGTCCAACAGCCTCCTTGGCTGTGATGCTGTCAAGATAGAAAAGTTGAACGTCTGTGTGAAGAAAATTGGTCAGTCAGGGTGACAACACATTCATACCCCAGTGGAAACGAATCATGCTATTTTATATTGCCACTGAGTCAGCTAAGGAAATCCTTTCTCCCTAGATTAGATGAAGGTGGGTAACAATTCTATTCCAAGAAGACATCAAGATTTCAAGTATGTCTTTGATTATTTTAATTACTCAGTAACCCAAACACTTGTCCTGATTGTCTAAGACTCAGTTTCCTCATGAAAAGATGTCAGTGTTTGGTTTTCAAAATCTAAAAACCAAGACTAAAAAGCAGCACTTATCTTTTAACAAACATGATATGTGTAAAAAGTTCATACTCCAAAGTATTCTTAAAGCAAAAGACTATTCGTCCTTCTCAAAAAAGGGCCAACCACTCCTTTTCTTTTTTTAAAGGTTCTATTCAAACTCATTTATATATTGACTCCTTAAAGTTCTGTACTTATATAATTGATATCCTGGTTTAACAGATTTTTACAACGTATACAGAATATGGAGTTTTATAATAACTTTTTCAGGTCTGTGACAGGTGTAGTTTTAAATTTCTCACACCATCAAAAATGGCTGGAGCTCTGTCTCAAAGTCAAGGCATTTTGGGGGGCTGGAGTTATAACTTGAGCCTTCATCCTATTTCCAAATTTCTCTACTCTTATTCCTAAGAAGCCTCAATCTCAATAAGCCTACAACATAAAATCTCAATTAAATTTATCTGGGGAGAACAGACGTGAGACACCAACTCTATCCTTGCTTGGCAGAACAGAGTTAGGACACTGTAAAATACCTAGAAGCTAAACAGGAGACAATTCTGGGTAAGACCAAAAAAATCACAAAAGTATGCCAATACAGTATTACTTCTACTGCATGTATTATCACCAGCTCTGAATTATCCAAAGTAAGAGACAATTCCTGGGCTTTCTCATAAGACTCTGGGATTTATTCTAAGAAAAGTAGATGTTTTCTTCACAAAGGTCCAATTTGGCATATTTTGACCCAGTCCTCTCCATCTAAGTCTGTCCCTTCATGAAAAACCATAAGAAGTCATACCAGCTCTATCCAATAAATGGAAGGTACAATAATTGTTCTATGAAAGGAGTTTTCTGGGTTTATAATTAAAAGGGTTAAGGAAATAAATACATTGTCAATAATTGAACCCCCCTGCCTCACACTGAAATGAAACTCGGTGATACTTCAATGATTTGCTATATTTCACCAGGGTCATTATATTTTGTAAAAGTCAGATTTCTAAGTTGAATGAAAAAAAACAAGCATTAAAAACTATGTGTTTGTACTGCAAAAGTAAAAAGTAATATCGTATTAATGAATTCTAGTCTTGTCCCTAAATCCATCCACAAACCTAAGT